CCGATAGTTGAAAGGCCAAAAGGGGCCGTGAAGGTCTCGATCCCCATAGAGAATAGTGGATCAGATTCAAATCTCTCTAGTTCTGTTTCTGGGGAAGTCTTTGACTCCGCTACCTCTGGCGAGGAAAGCGAGTGGAAACCCGCGCCTAACGGTGCCAGAAAAAGGCTCCATCAAAGACGGACAAAGGCGGCCAAGGCCAAGTCGGAAGAGCCCAAAGGTGATAAGCCCAAGGGTGAAACCGATAAGGCTGCAATGACCATGGTGGAGGGGAAACCCTCTACCAAAAACAAGGGTGGGTCACGTAAGAAGAACCCTACCGCAGCGGTGGCCGGGAAAATAAGTCCGGCCACTAAAGCTGGAACACCATCGTCGGCGCCTGTGGCAACACGGGAGAAGCTTGAGACGGTAGAGAATAGGCGGGCAGCACTGGATGGCGTCCACGACGAGTTGACAAAGCTCCTCGCGAGGTCTGACAACCGATGTCAGAAAGCCACTTGTGCCGTTATTTACAACCTCTTCAGTAAGGTTGACGCCATTCTCACTGCCCAGGAGGTTGAGATTGCCTCCCTCCGGGTGGAGATTAAGACCTTGCGAGAGGTCAAGGGTGACAAGCAATTGCCACCCAATACGCTTTTACAGTCCAAAAAGGAAGGCAAGGCAATCATAGCCGGCAGCGCTTCTTATGCTGCCGTTGCTGCCCGTCCGGTCCCGATGCATAACCAAGACGGGCCACAGGTCGCTGCCAAGCCTTGTAGGGTTCCTCCCACGGAGCATACGCTCCTGGTTTACCCTACGAAAGAACCGATGTCCAGTGACACTACAAAGTCACTGCTAAAGTCGCACATCAACCCAACTAAACTGGGTATTGGTATCAAGAATGTGCGCAGGGTACGCAACAACGGCGTCTTGGTAGAGGTTGCAAGGCACCAAGACATCATGAAACTGAAAAAGGAGTTGACGGAGGGCCCCAAGGAGCTCAGTGAGGCGGTCAATTGCCGACTGCCCCAGAAGGGCCGACCGAGGGTCATTTTATTCGACATTGACCCGGACGTCAAAAGCGATGGTCTTGTGGAAACTTTAAGGGTTGAAAATGAACTCGGGCTGCAGACTGGCGACCTGCGGCCCTGTTTCCCGTTAAAGCGAAAAGGAGGGCTGACCAACTAGGTGTTGGAAGCCTCTCCAAAAGTCTTCCACGCTCTGCTGAAGAAGGGGAGACTCCACGTGGGGTGGACCCGCAACCGAGTGAGAGAATACCTGAGCTGCACTCGGTGCTACAAGTGCTATGCCTTCGTTCATATAGCACGGGACTGTAGGGCGGCAGTCCAACGATGTAGCAAATGTGCCCATGATCACTCCTATAAGGAGTGTAAGGCACCCGAGCCTCGGTGTGTCAACTGCACTGAGGCCAACAAGAAATTCGGCCTACAGCTGGGTACGGGTCACTCTGCCATGAGTGCTAGCTGTCCGTGTTATGCACGGAACTAGAACGAGTTCGGGCCAGGACCGACTACAGTCCTTAAGGGCAATTCCTATCATTCGAGTCCGACAATAATATTACTTATATGCGGAATGGCGAGAATGCAGGCTGCAGTTTACTGCAGTTTAATGCTGAAAAGTGTCGGGCTGCAACTGCCCAACAGTGTTGCCGTTCCTAGTACATTTGTACTTTTCTGGTACATTTTGCCCTTTCCAATAAATTGAAAGTACATTTAGATTTTTAGTACATTTTCAGTACATTATAATATTTCAAGTGCCATTTACGGTACAAAATAATATTTCACACCTTAACGAAAAAATGAGAAAAATTAGTTTAATAAAGTCTCACTAGTGTAACTGCTTGCTAATTTAAATTATCCAATCACAACATACAAATGGTGTGTGTCCGTCGACATCAGCAACATAGATAGTTGCACGTGTAAACGGTCTTGACTCAGTGGTCTTCTTTCACACGTTCAGTTGTCTGCACATTCTCATCANGCGCATCTGAACTCGTCTATCAAAAAATTGGCGCATGGTATGCAAAAGGTTGGCCACCCCTGGGTTAGAACGTGCGTCCCCACTGTTTGCTGGAATCAGACATGAGCCGCCATGACAGTCTACGTATCTGGACTTTAACACTGCTTTCTCTTGCTCTTTCACTTTCTCTTCCTTTCTTCTCACCTTTTTATCTTCTTTCTCCTTCACTCAGTCCCTCACTAAGTCTCTGATTTTCATCATTCCCTTTTATTTTATTCTTCGTTCTGTATAATCATGATTTTGTTCCGGAGGAAGTTGAAGTAATTTGCGATAAGCGTGATTGGTCATCCAATAGTCCTTTTTCTTCTTCTTCTTCTCAGATGTTGATATGGAGATTTTAGCTCATATAGGCTCTTTCTCCGATAGACATATGGTTATGATCGCTATGCGACCGAAGAGCCAGCCGTATCCGCGCGCGCGGGAAATAATGCCTTCCGGGAGGACTTTTATGGGGAACTGGCCTCCTATTCAGTCGTTATTGGCAAGGAGAAAACCCGGAAAACTCCAAGCAGCCAGCCTGTCCGATCGCGGCGCGAACCCACGACCGAACTTCCCAGTGTTTAGGGTCTGGGTCGCCGCTATGAGCGGCAACGGAGACCACTCGCTCACTGGTGGGGCCAACAGTCCTTCTCTCGTCTATTAAGAATTATATGCACGGATAGAGTAGCATCTGTCATCTAACACCATTGAAAAAGGGGTCTGGTAGTTAATTAACAATTGTTCGTTGCACAACCAGACAAAACGAAAAAACATAATATATAGTTTAAAATACAATTAAATTTTAACTTAAAGAGAATACATTATTATCTAAAAGATTAAAATTAAAATTATAGATAATGTTCATTATAAATTACGTATATATATATATATATATAGACACGTAAACAAAGTATTCATAGAACTAGTACATTTTGAAGAAAAATAGTACATTTTTTGAAGGCGCTTCAGTACGTTTTGAAATTTCATTGCGGCAACACTGCTGCCCAACTACGGGTGGAAGTAGTCGAGCAGGAGATTGATATCATCCTGTTCCAAGAGCTGTACTTAGTACGAGGAAAGGTTGGTGGTCTCTCACTTCTCTCAATTCGCCCAAGAAGGTGACTATTGTCGAACTGCAGTTATTCTCACGCGCAGGGATGTCGATGCTTATGCTGTCCACATCTCTCATATCGTGGTGGCCGTAGAAATATGGACACCTTCATGTGCTTGGACTGTCATCTCCAGTTATCGCCTGCCGTCGCTAAATCTGAGTCGCCTTCTGACAGAACTCGAAGGGGTTGTCTCGGTCCGCACTCGGTCAGCGAGTGTTTGGCGAGTCCCACAGCGCCAAACACTCGCTGTGGGGCTCGCCGATCGATGACCCTGACGGGATCATGATGAAGGACACGGCGGAGGGCTGGGGGTTGCATGTTCTGAACGATCCGTTCGGAATTGCTACCTACTCCTCTCCATCGGGCGAGAGCTGGATTGATTTGACACTTGTTAGTGGCGCTATGCTGAGACTTACCTCGCAATGGGAGACGATCGACGCAGAAAGTTGCAGTGACCATCGCTTTATCGCCTTCGAGGTGATGGGCGGCCCGCCGGACTGGCAGGACAGTCACTACAAACTGACTGCTGGAAACCGCGATCGCTTTAGCAAATGCCTCGTTGAAAAGACAGTCGATATCGTTACCGAAGTTTCTAAGGTTGAGAGTGTTGAGGATCTGGAGGAAGCTGTGGCAAACCTCACCAAAGCGGTCAGAGAAGCAGGAGACTGCACGCTCGGCGCTATGGCGGCCCAGCAACCACCGGTCAGTTCCCTGGTGGACCCAGGAGCTGAGTGTCCTACGGAAGCGTGTGAGGGCGCTCCGCCGACGCTTTCAACGATGCAGAGACGATGACCTTCGGGCGACCAGGAAACTGGAGTTCCAGAGGGCCAACGCTGAGTACAAGTACAAATTGAACGATGCAAAGAGAACTTCATGGGTCAGTTTCTGTCAGCAGATCAGTGACGAAAATCCGTTCAGCCTACCCTACAAGCTAGTGGCAGGAAAGTTGAAGCGTAGGACGGTCTTGGGGTCCTTCAAAAAACCGGATGGAACCCTAACCTCCACACAGGAGGAGTCGATTAAGGTACTGCTCCAATCGCATTTTCCGTGTGATGAGCGGTCCGAGGACACCGAAGAGCAACAGCGGCTTCGCAGCAATGCAGAGTTACCTGTTCTTGAGGCCGAGTTACCCGTGCCGGTGTCGGAATCTGAAGTTGTCCACGTTGTGGGCAATGTAAGGAAGAGGAAGGCACTTGGCGTTGATGGGATCACGGCCGAAATGGTACGAGTTTTGCAAGAGGAACGTCCTAACCTGCTCCGTGTACTGTATCAGAAGTGTCTACTCCTGGGTCACTTCCCAGTGCAGTGGAAGCGGGAGCGCCTTGTGTTCATTCATAAGGAGAAGCGCCCAAAGAACGAGCCCAGATCTTACAGGCCGATCAGCCTACTACCAGTGCTGGGGAAAGTTCTCGATAGAATCCTCGGCGATAGAATCTTTTTCTATCTGAAGCGGAAAGGGCAGCTACACCCGCATCAATATGGATTCCGCCCGAACATGTCGACCTGCCATGCATTACATCGCGCGGTGGAACTGGTTTGCCAGAACCGCCGGCAGGGGCTCCACACGTCGCTCGTTTCGATGGACGTTGCTGGGGCCTTCAACAATGTTTGGTGGCCATCCATTGTGGGCAAGTTGAGGAAGGCGAACCTGCCGACCGCTCTTGTATCACTTTCCAGGAGTTTCCTGAGCGACCACTCAGTTGTCTACGAGACGCCAGGTGGTAGGTATGAGAGGACGGTTGAGAGGGGCTGTCCACAGGGTTCCTGTATTGGTCCCCTTTTGTGGAACATTCTAGCAGACACGACGTTGCGGCTGGCCCTTCCGGACCAAGTCAACTGCAGGCTTATGCTGACGACTTATTGCTAGTAGTTGCAGGCTATAGTCGACGCGACATGGAGGTTTGCGGCAACGAAGCAATAGAACAGCTCGTTCGCTGGGGGGAGCTGTTTAAGCTCTCCTTTAGCCCTGAGAAATCAGAGGCCCTGACGGTGGCCCGAAGCGGTGTATTGGCACGCTGGCCTATCTACCACATCCGGGGCAACCCCATCCGAAGAGTGAATGAGTTAAAGTACCTCGGTGTAATCATCGACCAGACACTATGCTGGACTTCCCACCTAAGGGATGTTCGAGTCAGAACAAACCGAATGATAGCGGCACTATCACGACTAGCTAGGCAGGATTACAGGCTAAGTGGTGAAGCGCTTCGCACCGTCTACAAGATGAGTGTGGAGCGCGTTGTCTGCTACGCCTGTAGCGTTTGGTGGAAAGACACCGCCAACGTCAGTCAGAGTAAAATACTACTCACGATCCAGCGTCCCGCTGCTTTGCGGATCACGCGTGCATACAGAACTGTGTCAACGGACGCAGCCCTGGTCTTGGCCGGGCTGCTCCCTTTGCCTCTGGTTGTCAGCCAAGAGGCAGCCTTCTACAGAACGACGGTGGAAGGTAGAGAGGCCATGCATTGTAATCAGAAGTACCCGATCAGACTTAGGTGTCAGACAGATGTACTAAAGATCCATCCTGCCCTTAGGATTGGACTGGATTGAGAAGTCGGTGAACCGACTGGTACGGGTGTTGAGATATACACCGATGGCTCGAAGGACAGCAGCTTGGTAGGCGCCGCATACTGCGTCTTTTCCGACGGAGTTGAAGTGTACAGCAGAACTGTCAGACTGAACGAGGAGGCGTCCGTGTTCCAGGCGGAACTGGTGGCCCTGGAGGGGGCGTCCCAGTGGATCCTACTACATCCGGGTCCAGAGCCGGTCACGGTTTACTCAGATAGCCAGTCGTCGTTACAGGCTTTAAGCGACGGGTACCATCGTGACCCATTGGTACACGAGATCAGAGGTAGGGTACTGAGGGCGAGGCACGAGCGACACGTTGCCCTGCGGTGGGTAAGAGGCCACACCGGTGTCCTGGGCAACGAACGGGCCGATCAGCTGGCAAAGGCGGGAGCCAGTGGCCCATTTGTTACGAGGATGGTAGATCCCTCGACTACATACTTAAAAGGTACTTTACTGCAGAGATCGATGATAAGCTGGCGAGAGCGCTGGACTCTAAGTACGGTAGGTAGGTCAACCTACGCCTTCGTACCTATAGTTGGCCTCACTCCGATAAGTTGTTGCTCGTTGTCGACTCAAATCTTAACTGGCCACGGGAGGTTCCCCCACTTCAAGTCCAAGTTCGGACAAGGAGATGGTAGCTGCCCCTGTGGTAGTCCTCGCAGCGACGCGAGGCATTACGTACTTGACTGTCCCTTAACAAGGGACTTCCGCCTAGAGGCAGACCAAGTTGACTGGTCTAAGCCCCCTGAACAAGTACTTCGAACGCTAGCAGCTAGTAAAGGGAACCTAAAGAAACTAAAGGAATTGATGGGAAAAATCATAGATCTTTTTAATCTATAAGGGTGAAAGGCTTATTTGGGCCCCCTCCCTTTGGAGCAAGGGCCCCGCTGTCCGTATGCCTACTATATGTAGGTATAAGTTTGTGTAATTTGTTTACATGTAAGCTGGAACAGGTTTAGTAGTGTGGACCAAAAGTGCAGTACAGGCTGCACAAAGAAAAGTTATTCCAAGTTAGTGAGCTGGGCCGGGGTGCGGATGGGAGCCCGAATGATGTATCATAGGGCCCAGCTATGACGTCCCTGTCTACCGCGTCAGGTACCGACCAGTCGATGAACAAGGCATAGTCTCTTTAAACCCTGTAGTGCCAATAGGCGGGGCAGGGCAAAGAGTTCCTTATGAGACTTTGGGTCCATTCGTATCGTTTATTCGATAAGCCAGTAAAAACCGTAGATTCTCTGAATGCATTTTTAATATCACAATTACATTCCGAATCGCTAGCCACGATATAAGGGCTAAAATTAAAAATAAAATTATAAAAACTTACTTGGTGAAATAAAATGTGTGGTGGATATACATAACTGGTACAAAACATTCTTCAATTGTATGAATATACTTTTAAAGAAAATTATAATTAAATATAGCTTTGTAAAGAAAAGTACATAAAAATATAAAATATTCTTTACTTTTTAAATCTTAAAACAATGCACTTAGTCAAATAGCTCCCTACGAGTGGCTAATGGACAGAATCGAAGACGGTTGCAGAGCGCGCATATACGCGGACTGCCAAATCCCCAGGGTGCCGATACAGGTGAATGATAAATGCCTCTTTTGTCGCATCACTAGTATATCTCAAAGGACACGACAGGGCTGTTGTAGATTTTAAACGTTTCTCACCATAGCTGTAAAAGTCTAAATACGTTAAACTTAATAGTCATTTGTTTTCTAACTAATTCGTTTTAGGACCAAGTGTCTTCAGAAATTGCCAAAATTTACAACTTTTCGGTCACTCTCATTGAATTGGAAAAATTTCTGTCTTTATTACATCTAATATTACGAAGAAATCAGTCCCCACTGTACTCGGCTAGAGATGGTTCGGTTAAGTTTTTGTTTAAATAAAATTTCGGTTCTTTCATCAGGGTTTTGTTTATGTCCCAAATTCCCTAATTGCTTAATTATTTAACTACTTCTTAAGTAGAAATAAGTCGAAACCAGTTACTTTGTACTCGAATATTTGTAGTCTCGGGAAAAAAGTGGAAAGACAAATTTTTATGACAAATGGATACATAAATCGTAAATTTAAGGAAAATAAATTCTAGAGCTTTTTCTGTACCTGGTGCATCTCTCTCATTCATTAAATTTAGTTGCAAATGATGTTACAAAGTAACAGTTAATTTTTTAACATTGTATAAGAATTGTACACGTTTTTTTCTACATCCCCTTAGAGATGGGACATACGAAATCGTAATATCACTGGTTTAACATCGAAATCCGTGAGTAATATAAAATCTGAGAGCGGAATAAAAATATCAAATATTTTATTGGAATTTTAAACTCCTGTCGACTATACAGAACTATCGTAAAAACATACAGGTAAATTCTTATCGGTTGGGTTAAGTTATAAATCTACTCGCGATTCACGTAATCGGGCGAGGGCGGCCAAATATCTAGCGGGCNATGTTAAACTCCTGTCGACTATACAGAACTATCGTAAAAACATACAGGTAAATTCTTATCGGTTGGGTTAAGTTATAAATCTACTCGCGATTCACGTAATCGGGCGAGGGCGGCCAAATATCTAGCGGGCGGGCGGCTAACAGCCCAGAACCGGTCCTGAATACAATTGGATGCATCCACCCGAGGTCCTAAGCTTCCACCGGCTAAACCAGGTGAGGTTGGTGCTCTGTAAAGCACGTGCTCAAATCTGGCTTTTTGGATGCTGGCAATACAGCGTTTCCACTCCGCTACTCCGCCACTAATATTCGAATACAGTCGACCCCCCTATAATTACGATTCCTATAAAACTACGAAAAAATTGCTACCGGTATCCGTAAAAAATAGTAAAAGTTCCCTATAAACACCTCAAACGTCATCGGGCAGCCGAACTACTTCCCCGCCGTCCATAGCGCCACGCTACGTAGAGATTTCTATCGTCTGGACAGTATTATATAAATTATATATAAATTAGGTACTGTACATATAATTATATATTAATTATATATAAATTAGGTACTGTATATATAATTATATATTAACTTATTGTAACTTTGTTATAATTAAATATATAATTTCCGCCGTCTAGCGTGGCGCCACGCTACGGAGATTTTTACGCTAACTATCGTCTGTCAGTATGTAAATTAGGTACCGTAAGTCTAATACAGTACTGTAATTTTATACATTTCTTGTGAAAGAAACATTTCTTATTCAACGGCGATTAAAATTATTTATATTAATGATGTCTCCGAAGTTCTACGAAGTTTTCACAGAAAAATAAGTTGTTAGAAATCGGCCGCTCTTTGCTGAGCTGTTCCGCGACGAAAACAATGTTGAGCAATGGCAATGTCGAATGGTGACACTCGGTAAGTAATCCTACAATTTTTTGTTTATAGCGTAGTTTATACGGATTATTCCCAAAAAATATATACGTATTTTGGAAATGTTGAGTCGGATTAGTCTAGAATCGATTAATTTTATGGAAGAAAATCTTTCAAACAGCCGTAGTCCGTAAACTTGACACGTGTCGGGTTGTGATTGGAAGGATTCGTAAGAAATCGGATTCCTAGAGAATGGAACGTATCTCTATCTTATAGGGGGGTCGACTGTATATAATATCAATCTTATTTTTTTTCACGTGCAGTATAGAAATTTGTAATAAGATACATAATGCGGTTATAATAAAATATTGTGCGATTATTTTCATATAATTAAAATTAATATGTATTTATTTTTTAGAAAATGCAAGGGAAGCAGCGCATCCACCTCTTCTAATGACGGCACGCCACTGCTAGTATACATTATATCATACCTCACGTCCACATGTTTTAACACAAGGCACAAAGGTCTCTTTTCACTCTATTTCCTTTTTGACAAAAGTTCTTTCTGCGAGAAAGAGTTGTTAGCCTCCCAGCCTGGAAATTCAGGATATTTTCCTAGTCTGACCTCTTACCTGCATATTTTCAGAACGGGGAGTTAGATAGATGACCGTCATGACTCTACTATTATCAGAAAAAGTATAATGTTTAGGGGCAAGGCAGTACTAAAACAGAGTGCGTATTTCGAATTAAATAAATTAAAAATTTCACCCCAGTATTGTGACACGTTCTTTTATTACCGATGAAAAACACAAGTCGCTAGGTGAGGCATATAATAAAAGCTAAAAGGAAAAGTGAAATGTCACAAATCACGTAGCCTCTACTTTACTCACGAAAAATACACTAACTAGCATTTCAACGGTTGGAGCTAAAGTCCTAGCTAACGCTTATGTAAGAGAAAACTTTTTCATATACATGTAAGGTTAACTCTGGTGTAGATTGAGCCTAAAATCCGACTTCTGACGCCAGTATAAGTTTTGCCGACGTTGAGGGGGAATAAAGTCTATCTCGCGTCAGAATGAGCCTAAGGGAAACCGCGTATGTGGGCGGTGGCGAAGGAGGCAAATGATGTACAAGTGTTTTACAAGATAAAACCCGTTTATTTGTTCGAATTCATGCTTACATCGGTACGGTGAAAGTTCGTGTGATGGGTCGCAGTTCAGGCGGACGAGAAAGATATCTGGACGAAGCAGAAGTTCGTTGTTACGTTGCGGCGTTCTCGGTGATCGGAGGTTGCACAACACAATCTAAATCACCACTGTAGGCTTAATCCGGAGGAGACTCTCTTTCGACCTTGAAGTTCCGATTTTTATAGTTTTTCCCCCACTGTTCGCATTTCGGATTGGTCCCTCGTCCCATTCCTCGCTTCCCGATTGGTCTCTCCTTTGTCTCCAGGTGCAAGACGAAACTCTTTCGGGTCGCGGGAAAGGTCCGATTCGAGGTGTCCATCTGATACCTCTTTGTCGACTCTGCTCAATGACTGTTTATAAAATAATAACACCTGCACTCACAACTCAGGCCGTTATTTACCATTTTTTGACGTCTAAGAATTTAACGATCATTTTTCATCTTTCATCTATCAAAAATTCCCTTTTTTTTGTTCGAAAAGGTTTATTTCGGCCAACATTTTATAGACACGCGTGTCAAAGATCTACCTGTTTATGAGCGCTCGTGTTAGAGTTTGTCTTCCCCTAACACCTTGACAGATAGTTTGACACATACTCGAACTGTTCCGAGTCTCGTTGTTTACATTTTGTGTCGCGCAGAAATTTCACGGTTTACTCGGGTTCGCACCTCGTCTGGGACTCCACATTCAGTATATTGTTTTTATAATCTAAGCGAGGAAACAACACAAAAAGTTTTGGCAGGAAAAACGCAATTAGGAGTGCTGTCTTATAAAACGGCCAAAAATTTGGATGGGATATAACTTTTCCTGAAGGGTGAGCAAACCAATGGCATTATTACTTTGAAAAAACGCGCAATTAGAGGTGCCAACTTCATGGATCTAATCAAATATTTCTAAGGTAGACAGCGTTGAAAAAAATGACGCACCTTAATGCTAGCATACAATAGAAATTAAATACTACAGCAGAAAAGACAACGAAAGAACAATTGAGTACGCTATCATAATTAGTGCAGAATATAAAATAATAGCTTCGTCACGAGTGTTAGAATTCTAAATAATTCAAACCTAGTCTTGCAATCAATTGAAAACGATAAATGTCAGAGACTTACTTCTTATGAAGCGCAATATTATTAATGAAACGGTTCTTTAGTAACGTTACAAACACATTAATGAACAGTGCTGTCATAAATAATCAATTCTTTCTTCTATTACTGTCATTCTTCATTCAGAATTTGGTTATTATTGAATAGTGAAACCACTGTTTAATAATAACCAGACGTGCTTCTTAAGGGCTTTATTTTTACACGTTTTGTTTCAAAATACTTAAGAACAACGATAAGATAATC